TCACTGGGGTGTTCTTTACCTCAGCAAGGCACCGGCGTTTCCAAATCACAAAGAGTGTGATAGAAATCACCAGCCTTGCGAAGCAGCCCCTATTCCTTTCGAGGGCCGGGGGAGGGCGGATGCTGAAGCACCTCGCAACCAGGCGCCATACCGACTTGGCCGCCCCGCATTCTAACAACGCGTGGGAGATCGTTTCCTCAGCGCGGCAATTAGGACACTGGCTATTCGGCGTGATGCCGAAACGGTGCAGGCGATGTCTCGTGGGCAAAACTTGCCACTTGCGCTTCCACTCGAAGTCATGTACTTCGCGCGGTCGGTACTTATTGATTTTTTGTTTGCGCAGTCCTAGGCTTTTGATGTGCTCCTTTTCTTCTTCGGACAACTGGTTTTCTGTTATCGCTTCGACGATTCGGGCGGGTGGGTCCTTGTCAATGTCGCAGTTCGGGGCTTCTTTTTCTATGATCTTTGTCGTAGTTGCCGCCATCCTGTAAAAGTGTGAGGGCGCTTCCGCGCGCGGGCCAGTGTGTTTGTGGTTTTCCAGATAGTGCGTGATGGTGCTTGTCCAGTAGTTGATTAGATTCTTCCCAACGTAACTGGCAGCGTAATAAAGCATGCGGGTAATCTTGAGGGCCAGTATCTGGCTGGTCATTTGTACGTGTGGGAGGCCGAGGCCACCTTTGTCCTCGGGTAGTTGAAGGAGGTGTCGCTTGACTGGTGCCGGTTTCCCTTCCCATAGCAAATCGGTGATCACGGCGTTCAGTTGGCTCGCGGTTTTCCTAGGGATCACCGCTACCCTACTGGCGTAGAACGCAAACGCGCAAACGGTGGTCCTTGCTGCCAGCGCTTTTTCACGTAACGTAAGGTTTAGGAGGCGAATGCGGGCAGCTGCCTGCTTTGCCCTCTCGAGGGCTCTCTGCCACGTGGCTGGTGCCACCCCTTCACTGGAGAAGTAGATTCCCAGTACTTTAACGATGGACACCACTTCGATGTTTCCTAGGGCTTCTCTAGGGAAAGTTCCAAATAGCATCGCCTTGCTCTTGTCCGCATTTATCGCCGCTCCGGATGCCTGCGCGTATCTTGTGAACGTCGCACTGAAGGCTTGGAGGCTGCTTTCATCCCGAACAAACAGGGAAATGTCGTCCGCGTATGCCAGCACTTTCACCTGCTCCTGGCCCGTCAGTGGGAAGCCCCGAATGCCTTCATGCGCAATAACACTTGTGATCAGCGGCTCGCACGACATGACAAAAAAGGTCGGGCCCAATGGGCATCCTTGCCTTATGCCTCTGCTATACTTGAATGCCGGCGTTGCGACTCCGTTTATCAGAACGGTGCAGGTTAGGTCCTCGTACAAAGTTTTTGCCAGTTTTATAAAACTTGCCGGTAAGCCAAACTCCTGCATCACGTCGAAGAGGTAATGGTGTCGTACCCTGTCAAAAGCTTTAGCTTGGTCTAGGGAAATGAAAACACCATTGAAACCTCTTGTCGTCGCGTATTCGAAAGAGTCACGGATCACTGTGAGGTTCGCAAAAAGCGACCTTCCTGGAATCGCGCACGTTTGGTACGGGCTAATGATGTCCGGTAACAGGAGCTTGAGCCTGTTGTTCAGTATAGTGGCTACCAGCTTGTAATCGGTGTTCAAAAGCGTGATTGGACGCCACGCCGTGGGCTCGTTTGGTTGTGCACCCTCTTTGTGTAGTAGGACAATTTTACCCACTCCGAAGGAGTCGGGTTTCCTAAAGGACCTGAAGATCGCATTTACCATCGCGAGCAAGGGTTCTTCGAGAACTTCGAGAAAAGTCACATAGAAGGCTGCAGTCAGGCCATCAGTGCCTGGGGCAGAATTGGGGGTCATGCTTCTTATGGCTTCGCGAAGCTCTGCAGGGGAGACTTCAGCGCTAAGGGTTGCTGGCTCCTCCTCCTCCTTAATTCGCTGCAGATGTTTGCAAAGTTCTTTGACATGGTCGGGTCCCCGATTGGTGTCTATTGGTTCGGTGTCTTGGAACTGTATGCTGAAGTACTCTCTGAAGATGTTCTCAATTTCTGCTGGGTCGTCGGTTACAGAACCGTCTAAGCGCTTTGCCTCTGTAATTCGCAAACAGCCATTTCCGCGTACTTCCCTCACATCAACTCCGGTCGCCGTGCCCAACAGTCCATGCTCACTTTTAGGTCGCCTCATGGTATCTCTGAGGAGTTGATTGTATTGCTCCTCGAGCGAGGTCAGGTACTCTGTTGTACATGAGGTCAACGTGTCGGCTGCCTTGATGATCTGCATTCGGCGAAGAAGTTCTTTCATCTTTTGTGTATGACGTCTTTTTCTGGCTTTGCCTTCTTTTTGTAACAGGGCCTTCCATTCTTCCTTAAGTTTATCCCACAGAGGGGGGGTAATATGTCCGGCATTTTCTACTGATACGCTGATGGCAGCTTTCAAGTTTTCTACGCAAGTCTCATCTCTCAGCAGCTCAGCGTCTATTCTCCAGCTATTGTTATCAGAGTGCGGGCCGGGGGATCCCTTTACCATCGTGACAAGTGGGGCATGATCCGTCTTCTCTTTCAGGTTGGCCGGGAGCGCGAGTACTTCGCATCCTTCAACCAAAGGGAGGAGGAGGTCCGGAAAGTACATCCGGTCTATTCTACTTCCTGCTGATCTAGAGGTACGGGTTGCTACAAAGCGGTCTTTATAGAGGTGTACCCATATGTCCGAGAGGTTTAGGTGCCGAAGGGTTTTCACCAATTCTTTTGCATTGTAGGTTGATCTTCCTTGGCTTGGTCCCCTCACGTCCCGGTTAGAATCTACCACGCAATTAAAATCACCGACCAGTACGTGGGGAATGGGCTCTAGGAGGAGTTCGTGCATCTCTTGAAAGAACTTATTCGTATGTTTTCTTGTCACGGGGGCATAAACGTTCACAATGCGAATCTTTTTGCCTTCGATGAAAATGTCAATCATTATGTACCGACCATTCGCCCCGAAAATACAATGGGATTTTGATCGAAATCTGCCTGATACAAATATTACTCCGACCCCGCATGCTCTCGTGGTCGCCAGAGAGAAAAAGGCGTCGGTCTGATGATCTCTGCGGAAATTAACCACATCCAGCGGCGTTCGGAAATTCGCCTCTTGAATAAAGAGGAGGTCTATGTTCTGGTTCCTAGCGAAACCTAGGATGGCTGCTTGTTTCGCCCTATCTCTAAACCCTCGGATATTCCACGTAGCCAATTTCAAAAAGGCCATCAAAAACCTTCAAAAGAAGAAAACAAAACGCGGGAAGTATCGAGGCTAGCAAGCAGCGTGGCTGTCATCCGCCGATTGGGCACGATGCCAAGCGCTGGAGGGGACCAGGAAAGAGGGGTGAGCGAATGCACCGAGCAAGATAACCGACAGCCGCGTGCCGACAGAAAGGGGCGAGGAGGGCGCTGCACAAGAAGGAGAAGGGAAGGCAAGTGCGACATAGTGCGGCCAGAGCGAACGAGAGGAAGGGAAAAGGGCCGTGAAGCCGACAGGGCAGGCGCGCCGCTTCAGTGACTTGCGTCTCGGGGCTTGGGGGGTGGTTCCCCTTCGCCTACACCGTCTTTCTCGAGCTTCTGAGCCTTCGCGTGTGGTGGAGCGTCGCTATCACTGCTTTGGCCTGCTGGCCCGGGTCTACGCTGCCGGGCCTCCTTGCTGGCTGTCCTCTCACCCAGATACCGCTTATCGTCATCAGGGCGTATTCGTGAGCGCGAGCGAGCTCTCTGCTCTAGCCCAGTGGCCGTCTGTCCAGTTTTCGCGTCCGATTTCCGGCTTGGGCGTGCCGAATGGGAGGCGGGGGAGGAAGTCGGTGCAGCATGGTCGCATTCGCTGTCGCCGGGTAGAAAGTAATACCCTTTACTTTTTATGGGGGCGTCGTCGCCGGCTGGGTCTTGGGTGCCGGCCTCCAAGGCCGGGCTGGTCACTGGGGCCCGGACGTTGACGGGTGTGTTTGATAAAGCAAGGAGGGCCTCTCCCTGCTCGTTGGACTCGGGGGTTGCTTCAGCCGCGGTCAGCGAATGCCCGCAGTCATCCCGGCTCGCCGAGGGTGGAGGCGGCTTAGGGGGGGACGATTGCGCCGAACCCGTCTCGATATCGCTAGACTCTGTTTCAGTCGACCTGGTGGTAGTCTCGTCAAAACTCCCGGGCCTCTCCCCCTCACTGGCGGACGGATCGCCCATGCCACTGCCTGAAGTCAGATCGGAGTCTAAGTCGCGGTCCCCGGAAGGGAATCCCCTCTCGGTTGTGCGGGATGCGGACCTGGACGTAAGGACCTGCATACGTGGCGAGTTAGTTGCTCGGGCAGAGGCGGGGCCGCTTGACTGAGAGTGCGACGAAGCGGATTCAGATAGCAAGGGGAAGCCGCGGGCGGCCGAAGCGTATGAGCGCTTACGAAAGCACTCGCGTGTTCCGTGGTGACCCCCGCAACGTTTACAGTCTGCCGAGCAGCCCTCAGTATCGTGGCCGAAGGTGCCGCACCGCTTACAGTACGCCGTGGTACACGCAGTCGCCATATGCCCGACTTCACCACAACGCGCGCACACCCGGCGCATGCCTCTGTATTCGCACATGACTTTGTGCCCCGCAATAGTGATGAAGTTGGGGACTGGGGACTGGGCGGCACATCTCAATTTTAACCACACCTACCCCGTTTAACTTGGTCTGGCGAGTGGCTAGGGTGGCGAAGGAAATGCCCTTCACTTTACCAAACTGGGCTAAGGCGTTGCTAAGGGCCTCGTCTGATAGAAAAGCGGGGTAACGGTAAACGTTGACATATGTAACCGGCGGCCCGACTGCCTCTACTGGCACCCTCGCCCCGTTCACTTCAAATCCTTCCGCCACCATTAGATTCGTCGCCTGGCCAGCATTGCGGGTGCATACAAGAAATTTTGCGCCCCCCATATGTTGCAGTACTAATACGCTGTCGTCACCAGCTGTCTCTTCAATTGCGTCAATTAACTCATCGACGGAGATATCGCCCTCGGGCGCGGAAAACATGAAACAATTCTCCCTCACCGGGAGTTCAAACGGCGTGGCCATTCTGCTGGGTGGACCCCGCAAGCCGCCGGTTGGGCGTGGCTCGTGGGTGACTTGTAACGTGCAGTCGAGCTGCACTCTGGTAGGAAGCGGCTCAGCCGAGGCGAGTGCCGCGCAGGTCTTGGTGGTACCAGGTGGACCGCAGGGGGACTCCGGGATGGCGGGCGTGAACCGGGAACCTTGCACCTCCTCCTGGCATGGGGTAGGCGGGCTCCAGGCAGCAAGGCCCGAGACCCAGGGGCGGCGGTCGCGCGTACAAGACGCCGGTGCCGCGTAGACTTCTTTTGCCGACTTGAAACCCTGGGGTCGACGTCCGCGTGACGTGACCCCGGGTCTCGCTTGAGGACTCGAGAAGAGACAGCTAGACCGGCGAACGCAGCGTCGGCCTTCGATCAACAACTGACAAGCGGCGAAGCGCGTCGGCATTTATACTCTTGCCGTCGAATGTTCTAGCGTTATCGCTGGCGGTGGCGTAGGTTCCAGAACAATCTGTACCGTTCGCGCAGTGGGCCTGATCTTCTCGAAATGATCTACTACAGTCCGCAACCTTCTCGAAAACTGCAGGCGCGGTTTGCGCTGAGAATCGTGTGGTGTTTTGGGACGATAACAAAAACTTGGGAAATGGAACGTGGCATTACCCCCCTCTGAAAAAAAGGCATCATCCCGATGCTTTAACTAAAGATGAAGGTACAATAATAACGCAAGAAAGTACGATGAATAAATTACGATACAACAATAATACAAAAAACACTGTTTCAGTTTGTTAACGCGCATGAAACGGCTTGAGGCGCGCGCCATGGACGACTTCAGGTTTCAGGACGACTTCAGGCGCGCGACATGGACGACTTCAGAGTTCGTGATGCCGTCGGGGACAACCTCGTAATCAAGTGGGTCGAGACGTCGAACCATCCTGTACGGTCCGAAGTACCGTCGCAGAAGCTTTTCACTTAGTCCACGTCGGCGTATCAGAATCCAAAACCAAAAACGTTCACCGGGCTGGTATTCCACGAAGCGTCGTCGAAGGTTGTAATGGTGGCTGTCGGTCGTCTGTTGATTCTTGATACGGAGACGCGCAAGTTGTCGGGCTTCTTCCGCGCGTTGAAGGTACTCGCTCACATTGAGGTTTTCTTCGTCGGTGACGTTGGGTAACATAGCATCGAGCGTCGTTGCCGGGCTTCTTCCGTAGACCAGTTTGTATGGAGATATCTGCGTCGTCTCCTGCACTGCCGTGTTGTATGCGAAGGTCACATACGGAAGAATGGCGTCCCACGTCTTGTGTTCGACATCGACGTACATTGACAGCATGTCGGCGATCGTCTTGTTAAGCCGCTCGGTGAGGCCGTTGGTCTGTGTGTGGTACGCTGTCGTCCGGCGGTGGTTTGTTTGGCTGTATGCCAAGATCACTTGAGTTAAGTCGGCAGTGAATGCCGTTCCTCTGTCGGTGATAAGAACCTCCGGGGCGCCGTGACGTAGGACGATATTTTCGACGAAGAACTTAGCTACCTCGGATGCACTGCCTTTTGGCAGGGCTTTTGTTTCGGCGTAGTGGGTGAAGTAGTCGGTAGCTACCACGATTCACTTGTTTCCGAAAGCCGACGTCGGGAACGGCCCCGGTAGGTCCATACCAATCTACCGGAAAGGTCGGCAAGGTGGATCAATTGGCTGCAGAAGTCCCGCTGGCCTTGTCGGCGGTGTCTTGCGTCGTTGACAGTCCCGGCATGTCCTCACATAACGAGTGACGTCGGTGGTAAGACGTGGCCAGTAGTACCTTTCTTGTATCCTCGCGAGCGTGCGAGAAACACCGAGGTGCCCTGCCGTCGGACCGTCGTGCAGGGCCTGCAGGAGTTCTGGTCGCAGAGCTGAAGGCACCACAAGGAGGTACTTAGCTCGAAGCGGTGAAAAGTTTTTCTTTTGTAGAAGACCGTTTCGTAGAAAGAATGACGCAAGTGCGCGCTTGAATACCTTCGGGGCTTCGGCGGTCCTGCCTTCGAGGTATTTTATTAGGGCCTTAAGTTCCGGGTCGGCCCGCTGTCGTTCAGCAAAGTCGTCGGTAGTTATCGTTCCCAAGAAGTAGTCGTCATCTGGGTCGTCGGGTAGTCGTTGGTCGCATGAGAGAGACATGAGAGAGACAGTCGGCGTCGGAGTGTTTTTTGCCGGACTTGTAAATGACAGTAATGTCATATTCTTGAAGTCACAGGCTCCATCGTGCGAGGCGACCTGAAGGGTCCTTCAAGGTGGCTAGCCAACACAAGGCGTGGTGGTCGCTCACAACTTCGAAGGGCCTGCCGTTGAGGTAGGGGCGAAATTTCGACGTATCCCAGATGATGGCGAGGCACTCCTTTTCTGTTGTGGAATAATTTGCTTCTGCTTTGGATAGCGATCGGCTGGCGTAACTAATAACCCTTTCAAGTCCGTCAGCCCTCTGTACAAGAACGGCGCCAAGACCAACGCTGCTTGCGTCAGTATGTATTTCTGTCTCGGCGACTTCGTCGAAATGGGCAAGTAACGGAGGCGTCTGGAGGCGATGTTTAAGCTCCTGGAAAGCGTGTTCCTGCGGCGTTTACCACTTGAACTCTACGTCGGCCTTGGTAAGGTTAGTGAGAGGATCGGCGATGCGCGCGAAGTTTTTCACGAACCGCCTATAATAGGCGCACAGGCCCAGGAATCGGCGCACGGCTTTCTTGTCAGTGGGCGGCGGGAAGTCGGCGATGGCGGCTGTTTTCCGTGGATCGGGACGAACTCCAGACTTGCTGATAACGTGCCCCAGAAACAAGAGCTCCTCATACACAAATCTGCACTTTTCTGGCTTCAGTGTGAGTCCGGAAGTCTTGATGGCTTGAAGTACAGCTTCAAGGCGCCGAAGATGCTCGTCGAAACTCGAGGAAAACACGACGACGTCGTCCAAGTACACAAGGCAAGTCTGCCACTTCAATCCTGCCAGTACTGTATCCATAACGCGTTGAAAAGTTGCAGGCGCTGAGCAAAGGCCGAAGGGCATCACCTTAAACTCAAAGAGGCCGTCCGGTGTTACAAACGCGGTCTTCTCTCGGTCTCTTTCGTCGACGTCAATTTGCCAATAGTCAGTCTTGAGGTCCATTGACGAAAAGTACTTGGCTTTATGGAGCCGATCAAGTGCGTCGTCTATTCGTGGGAGAGGATACACGTCCTTTCTTGTGATTTTGTTCAGGCGGCGATAATCGACGCAGAAACGTAGGGTCCCATCCTTTTTCTTTACTAGCACCACGGGGGATGCCCATGGACTCTTGGACGGCTGGATAATGTCATCCCGCAGCATTTCATCAACTTGTCTCTTCATGGCCTCATGTTCTCGCGTCGAAACCCTGTACGGACTCTGACGGAGTGGTCTGGCATTTTCTTCGGTTATGATGCGACGTTTCGGGATTGGGGTCTGCCGAATTTTCGATGACGACGAAAAGCCATCTTCCTATTGCAGGAGCAGGGCCTTGAGCTGTTCTTGCTTATCGTTCGGAAGTCTGCGATTGACGTCGAAAGCTATGGGAGGGGCTTGGTTCATCTGAGCAGGTTCCGCAGAATCGGCGAGAGCGAAAGCACTGGTGGCTTCGACAATTTCTTCGATGTATGCAACCATTGTTCCTTTGTTCACATGTTTGTACTCATTGCTGAAATTCTTGAGCATAACCGTTGCTTTGCCTTCCCGCGGCTCTGCAATTCCTCTCGCGACGCAAATATTTCGGTTGACCAACAGATGCTGACTGCCTTCAAAGACGCCTTCCAAGTCAGGTGATTTAGGAGGGCCGAGTGAAATAATAACGCTTGAGCGAGGCGGAATGGTGACTTGTTCTTCCAGCACATTCAAGGCATGGTGTCCTGACGGCGTGCGCGGTGGTAGTGCTTCTTCTGTGGATAACGTTATCGACTTTGTTTTTAGGTTGATGACAGCACCATGGAGGCATAAGAAGTCCATGCCAAGGATGACATCTCTCGAGCAACGCTGTAGGACTACGAAGTCTGTAGGATAAATACGGCCGTTAAACGCGACTCTCGTTGTGCAGATTCCTGCAGGCGTCACGAGATGACATCCGGCTGTGCGGATTTCAGGGCCTTTCCAAGCTGTCCTAACTTTCTTTAACTTCGCGGCGAACGACCCACTGATGACAGAATAGTCGGCTCCAGTATCGACGAGAGCGGTCAAACTGTGGCCATTGATAAGAACGTCGAGGTCGCTAAATCGCCGTCTCGCATTACAGTTAGGGCGTGGCGTCGGGTCACGGCTGTGTCGGCTTGTTCAGCTGCTTCCTTGTTGCGTCGTCAGGCCCCCTTCGGTAAGCGAGCTTTCGCCGTCAGGGCTTTGCCTGGTTGGCGTTGTGTTCGGTAAGCTCCGTCGCGGCGCCGTCGTCGTCGGAGGATCTTCGGTAGTTCGTCGCACAGCAACCGCACCTCCACCGGTTGCTGCCCTTTCCCGGATACGGGCTAGGAGACCGGCCCCGCGTTGGGCCAGAGTACTGCCGGTGGTGCGGTGACGTGCGGTGGCTGGGCGACGGCGAACGCGAAGGGCTTCGTGGTGTCCACCGAGTTCCTGTCAGGTAGTCGGCGATGTCACGTGGTCGTTCTCCTGGCTGTGGACGCGGTGCATTGACGGCGAAGCCACGCAGTCCCATCTGTCGGTACTGGCAACGGCGGTATGTGTGTCCGGCCTCGCCGCAGTGGTAGCAGAGCGGGCGATGGCCAGGGGTGCGCCAGACGTCAGTCTTCCTCGGTGCACTGCGCTGGGCCGCTGGCGAACGGTATGACGTCGGTGGGGGTGGTGGCGGCGGTGGCGTCTGGCGTCTGTCAACCAGATGTGAGGTGCGTCGGTGTCTTCTCCGCGACGTGGACTGGGTTCACGGCTTGACGGGGGCGTCTGGTACATGAACGAAGCAGCACCTCCACCAGATGTCACGAGGGTCGTAACGGGGCCGAAGACAGGAGACTTCATGTTGGAATTTAACTGTTTATTTGGGCGAACCTGTGCCCGGTAAACGGAAAGTCCAATTAAAGCAGCAGTCTCGCACAGATAGCAGTCTCGGACTGATAGCGGCGAACGGAGCGTCGGCCTTCGATCAACAACTGACAAGCGGCGAAGCGCGTCGGCATTTATACTCTTGCCGTCGAACGTTCTAGCGTTACCGCTGGCGACGGCGTAGGTTGCAGAACAATCTGTACCGTTCGCACAGTGGGCGT